AAGGCCTAAAACACAAGGTTTTCTAGAGGATGGGAATACTCGTGGTGGTGTGAAACTCTGACATCGCATTGCTGGCTGGGGAAGGCAGGAGCAGAGAGGGCAGGCTGTCCTGGAGCCATGCCTGCCAGCCCCAACGGGGAGCGGGATTGCAACATGATTCCAAGGTTTCAAAAACCTGGATTTCTCAGGTCCCTCCTGGGGCCTATAATAGCTGATTGCACCCCGGTGCAGCCCATGAATTGAGCAGGGAGCACAACCAATGTATTGCTAAGATCTGCTCCCAGGAAGGTAGGACCGGGCACTGCCACTTGTCCAAGTGGCCATGGTGCAGAGGATGCGGCTGATGCACAGGGCAGAAGATCAAAGTCTTTCTTTTGTCCCCAGGTACCTGTTGTCTGCCTGGTCCTGCACCCTGGGGTGCCTCATAGCCTCTGTTTCACAGAGCACACAGCCTGTAGGAGCCCTCTACCTCTCACCTCCTGGGCCATCACATCTCCCACAACCCTCGGCCTCAGCCCAGCAGCATGCACTTGGCTGCAGCACCACCAACTTGACACCGCTTTCCAACACTTGGTTCTTGGCTTTTCCATCCCTTCCAGATTGAAGAGCTGTGTTAGTCTCAGTGTTTCTTGCCATAAAAGTGCTCATCACCTCCAATGTTGTTTTTGATAAGCTGTTCACAAAGCACAGGGCATTCCCTCCAGCCTGTTTATCTCCAGGTCTCTTGTTTTCCTTCTGCTTTTTAACTGCCTTCCCAAAATGCGGGTAGGACAGCTGGTCACAGGAGGGTCAGCCATCCTGCAAAACTGAAGTGAAACTGTATTTTCCTTCCCATGTTTTGGTCTCATGTTTCAGCATTAATCCTGCAAGAGGGACACTGTCACATCATGGGACATTGCACAAAGGGATGTGGAATCATCTGAGTCCCAGGGGACTCATAAACCCCCCAGGAGTTCAGACAAAACAGGGACAAACATCTCCTAAAATATCAGGGCCAAGCCGCAATGAGGAGTAACACCCTGATGGAATCCAGGCTGAAGTGAGGCGCCAGGACAAGCACAGAGGTTCCTGCACTGAACTGCTGGCAGGAGCTGGGCCAGGCGGGGAGCAGAACAGGCAGAAGCAAGCAGGAGCTTGGTGCCAGCTGCAGATACCTACAGCATGGTGCAGCAGGGCTTGAACAGCAGTCTGCTGCAGCCAGCTTGAGTTTAAATGCTCCTGGTCTTTGAGAACCAGAGATCTCAGGTGGATGGTGACAGCTCTTGATTTTTGTGAGCCTCAACCATGCTAAAATCATGCACACAGAGACTATACATCTCGCTGGGATGAGGTCAGCAGTCAGCACTCCTACATCCCCTTCCCTCTTTGGCCATTTCCCAGCTTTGGCTATTTCTGCTCCTCGCAAAAGCTGGGCAGCTTGAGTACCTGGGCTCAGCATCACCTGCAGTACGGGTGCTGCTTTGCCAACAACGCAGGTGCCAAGCTGGGGACGTGGCAGTAGCCGCTGACAGCCAGTAGCCAGCCAACTACCACTCCCCACCTGCAGCCAAGGCAAAGGGTGTTCAACTGCTCTTGGGCACCACATTGCATTTGAAGAACTCTCATTTTAAGGTATTTCACTGCCAACACTGGCTGCAGTGCAAAAATATCTTGAGTTTCTAGATGTCAGGTTTCTTCTTTCCTGGCAGGTGCAGAAATGGGGAACAGCTCAACACACGGTCAAACGCATTGTGAGAGGGAACAGAAAACACCTGCAGCAAGTATCTGTCAGGGCAGGTCAGGGCTGGCACAGCGGGGCACACAGCACCTCCTCTGCTAGCTGGAAGGGAGACACAGAGAACAGAGGCCATGGGGAGAAATAAATCAGACTGCCCTTTCTGGCACTGCTCCTGGGAACCTCCAGAGTGTGGGCTCTGCTGCAGGTGTCCCTCCTCCAGCAGGACCTCAGTGTGGAAATGCTGCTCTGCTCAGCAGTGATCACAGCACACACCAGTACCAGCATGGCCAGAAGGTGAAGGCTTGGTGGAGGGTAGCCTAGGAGGAACAGAAAAACCATGGCAGGGCTGGGACTGTTTCCCCAAGTTATACTTTCCTGAGCAGCAGACTGCATTCAGACCATTGCGTTGAGAAATGATCAGAGGATCCAGCCTGCAGGACTGATCCAACCTCTTTCTGAAACCTCTCAAACCTTCAGCTTCCACCAAGGCCTCTGGCAGCAGCATGTTCCACAGGGCAGCCACACACCAAGGAATGGCGGTGTTCCCCCATGACTGGCATCATCACACCCTGTTTGGACGGAGCTGGAGAAAGGAGAGCCTCAGCACTGGAGCCTGGCTCAAAACTCTCTGGCAAACCGCTGGCAGGTCCACTGGCACATCTTGCCCGAGAGCAGCATTACAGGAGGCTTGTCTCCAGACAGCCACATCGAGTTTCAGTCCCTAGTTAATCCCCCCTTTATCAGCACAGGAATGTATTGCTTTTCACAAAACATAATCCTCTTTGCAGTCATGTGTTCTGCCAAACTACAAACTTTCTGCTCCTGTCCTTCTTTCCCGGGAAAGGATTTGAAGCAATAATCCAGACCTACTGATTTATTTCTTTAATGAGCAAGGGACAAACGAGCACAGCATTGCAGAACACATACACAGCCAAACCTTGAAGCATTCCCTGGTTATGGGGTGCTTTTGAGGGATGACCTGAGCTGAAGGACCGAGGCTGGAAGTGGTGACCTCCAGTCATGCTGGAGCCCAGACAGACAGGGCAGAGGAGGCTGTGCCACAGCCCGGGCCCACTCATCACCCTGGGCAATTCTGGCAACAGCATTGTGGGTGCTTGAGGAGGGCGAGATGTTCTGCAAGGTCCATGCAGCTGGGGTCTTTATGAGATTATCCATCAGCTGAAAGGAAGCAGAGCAACTATCACAGCCCTGGCAGTCCTCAGGAAGCCGCAGCAGAAAGATCCCTGGCAGGGGAAATCCCTCATAGCCACAGCTCGTGCCTGGCTGAGTTTGGAGCCTCAACACAGCATCACACTGACAGATTGACCTGCCAAGGGCACGGGTGGCTTACAGGTTCCCTAAATACCCCCCAGTATATTATTTACCAATTTCACTCTAAACCCACTGAGCTGCCTCCTTGCCCATTGCTTCACTTATGAACTGAAAGATGTGTACTAGAACTTCATTTTGCCAAATGACTGACATGTTCTACTTCTCCTTCAAGTTCCTTAGAAACAGAATAGGGAACCACATTGCTCTGCATTCGCTGGCTTTTAGAGACCAAGCTCTGCACACCAGGGAGCTCCCACCACAGTGTGGGGTCACTCTGCCTGCCCCAAGGAGAGGGCTGGAAGAGGACCAGGTTAATTCGGAGATGGAGCAATCCTGTGGTGCCCACCAAACGGATGCTTTTGTCAACACATCCTGGGTGGCCACAGAAACTGCTGTGCAGGCCACAGGCAGTCCGTTGCCTGACATAGGCTGTCTGTTTCTTGTTTATGAACTACTGGGGCTGGCTCTCACAAAGGCCTGCCAGACTCCTCATTGTGCAGATAAAACCACAATCTCAGGTAGCACAACCTGAAAGAACTCCCAGGTGGCTCTACTCATTCAGATCTAGGAAGGCAGCCCTAAGCACTCATGACTTTCTGGGGCCTGAAGCTGCCAAGCACTACCCTAGTCAAAGCAAACCCTGCATCTGGTTTGCACCACCCAGGGAAGAAAATATTTTTCCAACCCTCTTCCCTCAAAACACTGAGAGGGCGGGAAGGACGATGCTGTGACCTGCTCCTGCTGGCCGCCACACGCTGCGGTGCGAGCACACCTGTCCCGTGCAGGGCTGCCCCCCAGGGAAGGCCTAGGAGGCCCCACCGGCCCTCCCTACGGGAGAGGCACCCGCCGCGCTCCCAGCCCTCCCCGCGAGGGGACCCGAACCGGCCCCGCGGGCGCCACAAGGCGACTTACACCGAGCGCGGGTGCGGCCAGCC